AATGCTCATATCAATGTCGAATGGTGCAATCAGAATGGTTCTATCAAATACTTATTTAAGTATATAAACAAAGGCCCAGATCGTGTTACAGTTATCGTTGAGCCATTGAATCAGGCATCAACAGGGGAAACAGCAACTGATACTACAGCAACTGGTGCTACAGCAACTGGTGATACAACAAATCCAGCTCAAGATCCAAATTCAAATGAGAAAAAGAAGAATGAAATAAAAGATTGGTTTGACTGCAGGTATGTTATGAACTTAACCAAATGTAAATTAGTGAGTTTTTATCCTGTTACAATTTTATTTATTCAGTTTTTTTGATGTCTATAGATATGTATCAGCTTCAGAGGCTGTTTGGAGAATTTTCAAATTTCCTATTCAACATAGATCAACCCCAGTCATGAAATTATCTTTTCATGTGGAAGGAAAGCAACCAGTATATTTCGATCCAAAGGGAAACATAGAAGATGTTATCGAACGTATATCCAATGAGGATTCTCAGTTTATGGCTTGGTTGACATTGAATAGAAAAAATGCAGTTGGAAAGAATGGAAAGCGTGCACGAGATTGTCTATATGCGGAAATACCAGCCTATTTTACTTGGGACGGAAAGAACAAGTTGTTTAAGAAGAGATCTAGAGGCTGGTCTTTGGGTCGTATTAATTATGTCCCTAGGAAAATGGAAGATGAATACTATCTTCGAGTCCTCCTAAACATAGTCAGAGGTCCACAGAGTTATGATGACATAAAGACATATAAAGGTGTGGTTTATCCATCTTACAAAGAAGCATGTTTTGCACGTGGCATATTAGATGATGATCAGGTCTACATAGATGGTCTGATTGAATTAGGTCAGCATAGTTTTGCTCCTGTTTTGAGGAATTTTTTTTCAATGCTGCTTCTTTCTATGTCTCTAGCAAGACCAGAACATGTTTGGTCAGCAACATGGCATCTATTATCTGAAGATATTTTGGCTAAGAAGAAAGAAGAGTACAATAATCCAGGTTTATGATCCATTTCTCTACTATTTAAATAATGTTTTCAGTCCAATTCAGAAATCGTCTGTTTTAACTTCCACAATACTATTTGCAGACCTTACACTCACAGAAGCTCAAATAAAGAACTACACCCTACAGGAGATAGAGAAAATTATGTTGTTCAATGGAGGAACTCTAGAAGATTTTGATCATTTCCCTAAGCCTACAAGAGAGGGGATTGATAATTCAAACCGTCTTATTGTCGATGAGTTGAGATATAACATCGAATCTAACTTGGAAGAACAGCATGTCGAGTGGAGAGACAAGCTAACTCCTGAACAGAAAGGTGTATACAATGAGATAACCGGCGCAGTATTCAATGGTTTAGGTGGAGTTTTCTTTGTTTACGGCTCTGGAGGAACAGGGAAAACATTTATTTGGAAGACACTCTCTGCGGCTATTAGATGTAGAGGTCTAATATGTCTTAATGTCGCCTCCAGTGGCATTGCTTCTTTGTTGTTGGAAGGAGGAAGAACCGCACATTCAAGGTTTTCTATTCCATTGAATCCTGATGAGTTTTCTGTTTGCAAGATCAAAGCTAAATCAGATTTGGCAGATTTGATTAAAGAAGCATCTCTCATAATCTGGGATGAAGCGCCAATGATGAGCAAGTTTTGTTTCGAAGCTTTAGATAAAAGCTTCTGCGATATTATCAAACACGCAGAGAACAAGGTATTTGGTGGAAAGGTAGTTGTATTTGGAGGTGATTTTAGACAAGTACTACCTGTTATTACTGGTGCTGGTAGAGCAGAAATTGTTATGTCATCTCTAAATGCTTCATACCTTTGGGATCACTGCAAGGTTTTAAAGTTGACCAAGAACATGCGACTACTAAACAACAGTTTAAGTGCTCAGGAAGCTAAAGAAATCCAAGAATTCTCAGATTGGTTGTTAGCTATTGGTGATGGTAGGATCAATGAGCCTAATGATGGTGAAGTGGTTATAGATATTCCTGAAGATTTGTTGATTACAGAAGCAGACAATCCAATAGAAGCAATTACTAGGGAAATTTATGGAGATCCAACTAAGCTTCATGAAATCCGTGATCCTAAATTCTTTCAAGCGAGAGCTATTCTAGCACCAAAAAATGATGATGTCAACACTATCAATCAGTATATGCTTGAGCATCTGGATAGTGAGTATACTTTAAGTCTTTACTGTTTATTTGGTTATTTTATAATCATTGCTAAGTTGCTACTCTAATCAACTAATCATATCCCTTTTGTTTTCTACAGGTCCAGAAAGAATTTATCTATCTGCTGATAGTATAGATCCTTCAGATTCTGATGCTCTTAGCAATCCTGTTATTACTCCAGATTTCTTAAACAGTATCAAGGTTTCAGGTTTGCCTAATCATGCTTTGCGTTTAAAGATTGGTGCTCCTGTTATGTTGCTTAGGAATTTAGATCCTAAAGGAGGCCTTTGCAACGGCACTAGACTTCAGATTACGCAGCTTTGTAATCAGATTGTGGAAGCAAGAGTTATAACAGGAGACAGAATTGGTGATATCGTTTTTGTTCCTCTCATAAACATTACTCCTTCAGACACAAAACTGCCATTCAAGATGCGTAGAAGACAGTTTCCACTATCAGTTGCATTTGCTATGACTATCAATAAGAGTCAGGGCCAATCTCTTGAGCGAGTTGGACTTTACTTGCCTAAACCAGTCTTCTCTCATGGCCAACTATATGTTGCGTTGTCTAGAGTGACTTCTAAAAAAGGTTTGCGTATACTAATACTCAACAAAGAAGGGAAGATTGAGAAGAAAACAACCAATGTTGTTTTCAAGGAAGTGTTCCAAAACATTGACTGACGCATCAGTACTTAGACTTTCTCTACAGTGAAAGCCTTGAAAGAGGTAAGTTTAGTTACCATTTCCTTTTTTAAGATTTCAGTTATGGTATGCAAAACCACCACACACCATTTTAATGCATCAGTCTTTGTTTTCCTATTGTAGGAACGTGATTTCTAATAAACAAGACAGTTTCAAACTCAAAGATGCAAGGAGATCGGCAATCAAATGTCTATCTTCATACTGAACTAATCTGAAGTCAGTTTCATACTCTTAAGTTCTGCAATTTCCGTTTAAAATAAAACACTGAAACTAAGACACTATTCTTCATACATGATTGGTTTCTGGAGACTAACCTTGCTTTCTTATGGAGTTGATGAATTCTTCTCTTTCTGTTTTTTTTTACTTCTCTGTCCATCTTCGTAAGACTTTGTGCTGGATTTAGGCTCAGTAAACTAGCATATTTCAAAGTGAATTTAAGATCAATAGTTGAACAAGCGTTTATGCTTCTCTTAGAATTTCAGTTAACACTATAATATATTCGTTTACCTGAGTTATAGTAGATTGATTCATTTCTATAAACTACTACCAATTCTACCTATTATTCACCATCAATTACTACATTTTTAACATACCTTAACAAACAATTGTAGTTTCAATCATCGAGTTGAACAATCACTAACCTTTAGAATGATCCGATTATGAAATGAACAATTGATTGATTTGTCTTCTGTACTCCATTGCTTGATTACGCACTCGGTTTATAGCACCAACCTTTACATGCATATACTGAAGTAGCCAGATTATATTCAATGCTGCATGGAGATTTGAATCGCCGGAGGTTTTGCTCTGCTACAATCAAAATCGAATTTGAGAGAACTTATTTGCAATCCGAAACATTAATCGAAATCTTGATAGTATGAGAAGCTTAATTCAGAGCTTGAAGATTGCTGAGGATCGTGAATTGAAGATCTAAGCCTGTCGGAATTGAAAATTCCGTTAAGGCACCGACCGGTTTGGTATCATCTAACCAAGCCATTTCTTCGGTTTTGCTTTTTTTTTTTGTGTTTGGTTTGTTTTTTTTTTTTTTTTTTTTTTGACCAAATACAGTAATATTAATTTAATTATTCTATACAAACTTTTTTATCTAACTAACTATTACTAATGACATAAATTAAATCCAAAACACTTTATCTTCTAAATTTACACACTTTTAAAATTGTTATATCTTTTCCACCAAAAATATGTTCATATATACCATAAATTGTATTTTTATTAAACACAATAGATTCAAATGAAATCAAATACAATATCTTATTTCTCTAACTTTATAAAATTGGAAATGGCATAATTTGAATACAAGTAACTGATCTACTGGAAATTTTTAAAATCTATTTTAGTAAAATGAAATTGATATATACAACTATATTGAGTTTTATACATTTAAATATATAGAAGTATATTGAGTTTTATACATCTAAATTGATAAAAAATTGTATTATGTCAAATAAAATATTACAATTAATAATTAATAAAATAATCAAATAATATTTATGCCCGCGGTGTACCGCGGGTTAACATCTAGTTCTTAAGTATGTCAATTGTCAAAAAGGTTTATATAAAAAAAAAATGAATGTCAAAGAGAGATTATATATTTTGTTTTGGATAATGTATTACTACATAAACTGATAAACATTTGGTAGTATATGGCAAATATTTCGGGTCAAATATGCACAAAAGGAAACGAAATTTAGGATATTTATGGATAATGTAAATTTGTAAACATATCATGATATGTTTGCCAATATTGTTTGATTGCACTGAATGTTTTCACTGGTAAATTAATTCATGGCTGGTCTCATGTTTTGATTATCGCTATTTTTTTTCCTTTTTTAAATTCTAACTTATCAAATTAATCGCATTAAAGGTATTTAATTAAATATTGATGAAATTGAAAACCACTGACCATTACTAAACCTGAGGCGTATCATCTTTTATTTTTTATGGAAGTAGAAAGTTAAAGATATACATAAAAAGAGATAAGTTATCTAAAATAAGTAAATACAAAAAAAATCTGACGAATCTTTCACATCGCCACGTCATGAAGATATCATTGCGTTCTCAAATTCGAGGCATAATAATATTTGCCAATAATAAAATAAAATCATAAAATCTGTATAAATGAAATCTCTTTCTTCTTTAGAATTACTGTCTCTCTCCGCTACAAAAAAACCAGATTTTCCTCTCCGCTTCTCTCTCTCTCTCTCGTCGAAAGTAAAACACTCTCCTTTCTCTATCTCTCTATCTATCTTCTGCTCAAACCATCCATTGACACAGTTGCTTAGGGTTTCCCTCAAACGCCGCCGATTGTCTGGTTCGTATCTTTAAATCTCTCGTTTTTGACTCTCTTTTCATAGTTCCTATATACGTGCCTTTCGTGTTTGTTTACACATATCCACTTTTATAAATGTGTATGTATCTGTGACTATCTATCTTCGCCGGAAATTTCTCGGTCTTTTTTTTTTCTCCTTCCCTTTAGATTTGAATTGGTGTTGAATTTTCCTGGAGGTAATGAGTTTGTGGTCTCTCTGTTTCTCTAATCATTCTCTCTTTCCTGGGTTGCGATAAATTTCTCGAATTTGGAGTTTTCGTTAGCTAAATTTGATCCGACGATGATCAAGGGAATATTTTGATGATCGGTTACGAGTTTTCGGAAGATTCTAACTTTCAATACCAAGTTCTTATTTGAACTCTGCTCGTGTTGAATCAGAGAGTTTTTCTTAATTTTCGGTTTCAAAAGTTTCAAATTTTAGGGTTCTTCTTTAGGCGGCTTGAGAAAGGGTTTAGATTTTCTGGATTTTTTTTTTAATCCTTTAAACGTTTCTGAGTAACCTAATTCTCATCTTGAAAAAAAAAGGTTATCTTTGTGTGCTTCACTTGTAAATCTTATTGACACCTATGTTTTTAAACAACTTGTTGCATTCATCTGGATCTAATGCTTCCAAACAAAACATTTTTTTCAGGATTTTGACCAATGGCCTTAGATCAATCTCTTGAAGATGCTTCTGTACTCTATGGAGAAGGTGCATTTTGTTTCAAGAGCAAGAAACCTGAACCCATCTCTGTCTCGGTTTCTTCTGATGACGGCGATGATTCGAATTTCGACTGCAATATTTGCCTAGACTCAGTGCAAGAACCCGTTGTGACTCTCTGTGGTCACCTCTTTTGCTGGCCTTGTATTCACAAATGGCTTGATGTACAGAGTTTTTCAACAAGTGATGAATACCAAAGACATAGACAGTGTCCCGTTTGTAAATCTAAAGTGTCTCATTCTACATTGGTTCCTTTGTATGGCAGAGGCCGTTGTACTACTCAGGAAGAAGGTAAAAACATTGGGCCTAAAAGACCTGTAGGACCGGTTTACCGGTTTGAAATGCCGAATTCACCTTATTCCAGTACGGATCTGCGGTTATCACAACGGGTTCATTTCAATAGCCCACAGGAAGGTTACTACCCTGTCTCAGGGGTGATGAGTTCAAACAGTTTATCATACTCTGCTGTTTTGGATCCTGTGATGGTGATGGTTGGAGAAATGGTAGCTACGAGATTGTTTGGAACACGAGTGATGGATAGGTTTGCATATCCGGACACTTACAATCTCGCAGGGACAAGCGGGCCGAGGATGAGATGGCGGATAATGCAGGCAGATAAATCGCTGGGAAGAATCTTCTTCTTCTTCATGTGTTGTGTTGTTCTGTGTCTTCTCTTGTTTTAAGTTCTCATAGCTAGCTTGGTTCTACTGTTTACTTTCTTCAAGTGTAAGGAAGCATAGTCAATGAAATGTACATTTGTGTTGGAAACAAATCACAGTTGCTTATGTTCAGGAGTTTGTGTTGGGTTATATTCTTGTCTATATTTTGGTCTAAGAGATACAAGCCATTTAGTTGAAAGGCCATGTCAATAGGCCTGATTTGCATGTGTGTATTAATTCAGCCCATGGGTAGAACAATCAGAACTGAGCTTTTCAAATGCATTATATTGGAGTATGTAAATGTGCATAGGTTTGTTTCGGATTAAAACAGAGGAATGTTTCTGCATTGACTTGTTTGAACTTACTCTGATCTGAAAATAGAGTCTCTCTCTTCCATCAAGCTTTAGCAACTCCTCTTGTACTTCTCATCTCCTTCTCCCTTTTGGTAAGTGTCTCTCCTCCCTCTTCTTGGTATCGTTGACATTTGGTCAGGGAACTTAAAACTATGTGTTTCAAACTATTTGTGTGATGATTTTAGGATTGAGATGGACAGTTCTGAAGCAGGTCTTGATGGAATTGAGACACAGAGGTCAACGGGTGTGTCTCATGACCAATCGAAACAAAGATACGACTCCCCCATTAATCTGATAACGCGCAGAATCTTACGAGTATTCCGTGCACTAGGTTTCCTTCAAGTCGAAGGAGAAGCAGCCACACCCCCAACAGGAGACACCGAAAATGTGCCAGAGTTCTTTACCAGTATCAGATTGTCTGATCTGTTTGTCCTCCCCAGTGAATATGTGCCTATGAGTCCTGAGATTGTTAGCGCGGTAAGCGCGGGGGAGAAAGAATGGCTGGATGTATTGAGAAGGTACGGTAAGCCAATGGAATGTCTAAAGAGCGATGGAGGATATTCTGTTCTTCACCTTGCTGCTGCTTGGGGTCGAGTTGAAACAGTGAAGAGCATAGTCTCTAAATGCCCATCTCTTCTTCTAGAGCTAGATTCGAGGGATCAGCTTCCCCTTCATGTGGCGGCCCGTGCTGGTCATCTAGTTGTTGTTAAGGTTCTTGTTGCGACTATAACATTTGTGACAGCTAGAATGTCTGATGAAGAGAGGGAAGGCCTGAATCCATATGTTCGCAAGGACGTAAATGGAGATACTCCTCTGCACTTGGCCTTGAGAGACAACAATGTGAAGACAGCTACTTTTCTGGTGAACACAGACCAACGGGCTTCATTTCTTGCGAATAAAGATGGAATATCTCCCTTGTATATGGCTTTAGAAGCTGGAAAGGTATCACTTGTGAAAGCAATGTTGAAAACTACAAAAAAATGATGGACTTGAAGGAAGGGATTCTAACTTAAAGTACTGACACAGATCTTCGTAGGTATGGTAATATTTCATATATTCCCACTTGTTTGAGCAGATATCCTTGATGTTATTCTTAAAGAATGTCCAACTCTCGATGAAGAGCTAGATGAAGAAGGAAGGACTTGTGTTTTGTTTGGAGCATCCATAGGGTTTCTTAATGGAGTACGCTACCTGTTACGCCGATCAACAAAAAATGTTTACGTCTGCAATAATGATGGATCCTTTCCGATCCACATTGCTGTAGAGAAACGTCATATTGAAGTTGTTAATGAGATTTGCAGGCGTTGTCCAAATTCAATATACCTGCTTAACAAAAAAAGTCAAAACATTCTTCACATTGCATCAAAGTGTGGGAAAGTTCCATATTCGTTTTTGTGTCATTTTGCCAGAACTGAGCTGATGGAGAAGCAAGATGTGGATGGGAATGCACCTTTGCACCTGGCTGCCATAAACTGCCGCCCTCGTACGATTTTTCACCTTCTAAATGATTGCAAGCCAAAATGCAAACTTACAAGGAACAATAGTGGTTTAACAGCTCTGGATATTGCCGAGTCAAATCAGCAACCCAACTACATCTTCATGGAGGTATCTCCGATTTCCCACATTAACTATGAATTTTAAGTATCTTCCTGACTAGTTAGAGGCCTTTTGCTCTTGTTTGGAGTACAGAGGGTGACACTGATGGTGTTATTATTCTACTTCCCATCAAAAGATTCTTCCATGAATTCTGTCTCGCCTTACCTCCCTCTTATTTTGGAGATCCTGATCGAGAAAAAGATAACAAGACGATCAGATCCACCAGCTGGTGACAAAAGCAAAGACTACGTCAGCACTCTTCTAGTGGTGGCAGCTCTTGTAGCAACCGTGAAATTTGCTGCTGGTTTTACAATACCAGGTGGCTTTAATAGCTCTGGTTCGAACCTGGGCAGGGCAACTCTAGCCAGTGACCGAAAAATCGTCTTTTTTATGGTATTTAACATTCTGGCAATGCAAAGCTCCATTGTAACGATAGCTACTCTAATCTGGGCGCAGTTGGGCGATCCAACACTCGTTCATAGATCCTTAATTGTGGCATTTCCATCACTGTTTTTCGCTCTTCTCTGCATGCCGGTGGCATTCTATTGTGGTGTTCTTGTTGCATTTTCACATGTTAAGGGGCTTGTTATCCTCCTCAACGTTACATCTGCGATCTTCCTCTTTCTAATGCTCTTTGTCCTTGGCCCTCACGTTTTTCTACAAATACCTGGCATTCCTGCTGTCTTTGGTGGCTATTTCGTATTTTTTATTCTGCTTGTTGATGAAGACAGCAATGCAAAGGCGTCTCCTGGTAAGGATCTCATCCAAGAGAAAAAAACTAGCTAGAAGAGAGCATTTTTTCTCATATACATTGAAGTTGTTTGATTCAGTACTTGTTCTATTTGACATCTTGTTTCAGTTTCTTTCCCTGTTGTGGTTTAATTTGGAGAAAATTTGTAAAGTAGACACTTTTTCCACTAATAATTTGTAAAGTAGGTAGTTTTTTTTTAAAATTAGAAAAATAGACAGTTTTCTCTTTCCTCTTTCATACACCTTTCTCTCTAATAGAGATATTAGTAAATGACATATCTATTTTATGTACCCACATAATGATATAATTGACTTAGTCAAAAGTTTTTCTTTTTCTCTTTCTTTTCTTTGACTTAAATAATTTCACTTTGTTTAGTTAAAAATTCTTCATAAAAAAAATTTACCACAATAACATTAATCTTTAATTTTTTTTTATGAATCTAAAAAGTCTAATTTTGCTATATTTTGCGGATACATAACAATTTTTATATTTAATCTCAACCCGACAGTGTACGTGATAATGTAAAGATAGTGTACAAACGGTAGTGTACGACGATAATGTAAAAATTAATGTATGATACTCATATGATGTAAGAAGTGATATACTGGATATGACAGTGTACAAACTACAATCTATAATAGTGTACAACTATATAATACGATGTATGGTGTACATGATATTAATGGTGTACATGAAACGATGAAATAGTAGATCTCACCATACACCACCTTATGCACCGTCTACAACATCGTACACCTTCACATATTTTGTACACCACGTCTAGAATGAGAGAACTATTTTTGTCAAGTGTTAATGTAAAAAACGATAGTGTACAAGATTAGTGTACAAACCGGTGTACAAAAATTAGTGTACATTACGTATGAATGTACAAACATTACTTCAATTGAATAGTATACAAACTGGTGTACAAACATTAGTGTACATTACGGGTATACAAACATTAGTGTACAAACATTAGTGTACAAACGGATGTACAAACATTAGTGTACAAACGGGTGTACAAACATTAGTATACAAAATGTTATTTATAATATTAGTGATGGAAAAATATACAAATTAAAGAAAAGAAAAAAATAATTTTTATCAATTATTCTTAAAAAATAGTATTTGATCTATTATTCCTAAAAGTTTGAACCCACATCAAAAGTTCTTTCTCACAACACAAAGGGTAGAATTGTATTTGACACTTGTTTTGTCATTTACTCTATTACACATATCCTCTATCTCACAAAAGCAAAAAAAAGTGTTTATTCCTCCTATTTCTAAAAAAACTACCTAGTTCTCAAATAACTTTTAGAAAAGTGTATACTTTACTAAAAACCCCTTTAATTTGCGTGAAGTTGTTTGATTATGTACTTGTTATATATTTGACATCTTGTTTCAGTTTCATATGCTCGTTTTTAAATACGCCTTGGATCAGAGCAGATAATACTTGGAATTTTTGTTTAGAGTTCCTAACAGTGATGGCCTGATGGGGGTGACTATGGAGTGAAACTTATAGATCCTTTGTATTCGTTTTTTTTTTTCTTACTGTGAAGGCTGATATACTGACAGCTGTATTGGAGAGTGATTCAGATTTGGTAGGCTCGATGGATGAAGGTGAAAAAATTCCACTTGCCTTTGCAGCATCCATTGCATATGCTAACCAGATTTGCAAGTTCTACACATGTTTCTTACATTAAGAATGAAGATGGTTCTTTCCCCATCCACTCGGCCTGCGTTCCTAGATGCACCTCAGCTCTCAAGGTGATCTTAAAACATCACTAAGACACAATAGAGATGATTAACTCAGGGTCAAAACGTTTCTTCATGTTGGCTATGTGCTCAAAAAATATGTCGAAGAAAGAGTTGGGTATTGGTATATGGAGACACATAAGGAACAAGCAGCAGCATCAAAACCAACAAGAAGATGTCACCAATAACCATAATGACATAACCAAGCAAAGGGAGGTGTCTTACTGCAAGATACATTAGCCATAAACGCTGTTGACATTGATGTAAGCGCCAAGAACTGGAAGTGCGATGTTGAAGGCTTTTGAGTTGAGAGAAAGATACTATTGTTATGATAGAGGAGTACATGGCCAATGTGTCACATACAAGAAAGACTCGGAAATCTGTTTTCTTAGCCAAAGTGGCCATTCCCAAGTTGGGAACAGAGCCATTGGAATCCTGCAGTAAAAGTCATGGTGGCTACAAGAGTTGCAACCAATTAACGGAAGAATATTGACTTGATCTTTGTACTCTCCACCATCTGGCTTGGATGATATAAGACTTTCTGAAACTGGACTGGAACCTCTTGGTGCACCAGCATTGATAAAAGCCATCCAAGTCAATCTCTGTATACAAGGTAATATTGGGGAAACATCTTTGTCATATTTATTACCTGTTGAAACTTCTAATGTTCTACTCGGAAACATCTAAAGCTGTGAAACCATTATAGTTTTGGCTATTTTCAGGTCACCTCTATGGTCCCAAGTAAACATACTCACAACTTTAGGGTGCCAGTTTTTTGGTGTGGCTAGACAGCAAAATAATAGCGGCTTGAGAGCTCTGGATATCGCCGAACAAAATCCCAAACCCAACGTCTTTTGAGAGGTATGTCTAATTTCCCACCATAACATTACTTTTTCTTGATCAAATTTTCATGTTGACCGTTGGATCTGGGTTGATGGAGACTGACTAAGAGTTTTAGGATTTCTTGTCGCTAGCTTGGTGCCATTGTTCAGTTTCTGAAATGTAGGGAAACATAGACAGATTTCTGTTAGAAACAAATCGAAGTTGCTTAACTTACATGTGTTTGTATAGATTTGGGGCTGAGAGATCCGGTGCTGTTTACATGAAAGGTCAGGTTGATAGGCCTGATTTACATAGGTCAATGCAATTTCAAATAAACTCATTAGCCCATTTCCATGTGGTAATATCTCAGTTTTGAGTTATAGAACTTCAGGTTCACGTCGCATTAGATTAGGACTTTCGTTCTGTTTCTGAAAAGTTTAATCTTATAATATTTTCGTTCTGCTCCTGCACTGTTTGAAAGATTAACTTTATTATTGTTTTAAATATAAATTTAGATGTCAAGTCATCAGCTTTCAGTGGAGAATAAAAATATGAGAATTTCCATCATTAACGGCGCACAGTCGGATCTTGGATTCACGACTTAAAATGTTTTGTTTCGAAATGTTTATTCAGCCAACTTGTTAAATAGCTTTCCGTATAATTAAGTTGAAGGTTTTAGTTGACTTTCAGAGCAAATTTGAACTTTTTTTTTCCGTAAAATAAGAAATAGATTACCATTAATTACAGCCTAGCCGACAAGATCTCAAGTTAGGTTTGTTTACTTGGGATTAAAGAAAGACCTTCATTCACTGCGTCCATTTATAAACAAAGACTTTTGTTTTATAAAATGGACGAACATGGAGTCTCTCTTTCATCAAGCTTTAGCGACTCCTCCTGCATTTCTGATCTTCTTCTTCCTTCACTTGGTAAGTCTCTCTACCCCTTCGACTTTGTATGTTTACTTTTTTTTTGGTGTTTCAAACAATTTGTGGGATGACTTTAGGTTTGAGATGGATTTTTCTGAAGCTCGTCTAAGTAGAATTGAGTCACAGAGTTCAACTGATTCGTCTCATGACCAAAGGAGACAAGGGTACTTCTCCATGAATAAGATAAACAACGGTCTTCGCTCACTCAGTTCACGAGGTTTCCTTCAAGCTAGAGGAAAAGCCATACCGCAGCCTATGGAAGACACTGAGTCTGTGTCGGAGTTCCTTATTAATCTCAAATGTCCGGATCTTTTCGATCTCCCTGGTGAATATGTGGTGATGAATGCGGAGATGCTTAGCAGACTGAGTGATGAGAACGAAGAATGGCTGAAGAAAATGAGAAGCCTTGGAACACCACTGGCATGTCTCAAGAATGATCAAGCAGATTCTGTTCTTCATCTTGCTGCTACATGGAATCATCTAGAACTAGTGAAGAGCATTGTATCTGAATGGCCATGCCTTTTATTGGAGCCAAACTTGAAGGATCAGCTTCCATCTCATGTAGCGGCTAGTGCTGGACGTCTAGCTGTTGTTAAGGCTCTTGTTGCGTCGATAACATTTTTTTCAGCTAGATTTGCTGAAGAAGATAGGGAGATACTAAATCCATATCTTCTGAAGGACATAAATGGAGATACTGCTCTGAACTTGGCCTTGAAAGGACGCTGTAGGGAGGTTGCTTTCTGTTTGGTGAAGGCGAACCAACAAGCTTCGTTTCTTGCCAGTAAAGACAGAAAATCTCCCTTGTATTTGGCAGTAGAAGCCGGGGATGTGTCCCTTGTGAAAGCAATGTTGAGAAATGATCGTCCTGAAGGGAGAAGTTTTAACTTAGAAGGGAGACAATATCTTGCACACACAGCTTTGAAGTCCATGAGTACAGGTTTGGTTTGTTTTTTCTTTTTGTTCCAATTCGCAGGATCGTAAAGTTTAAACATGAATGATTAACTGAATCTTGTTATGTACGGTAATTGATATTTCTACTTTTTTGAGCAGATGTCCTTGATATTATTCTTAATAAATATCCAACTCTTGTCCATGAGAGAGATGAAGAAGGAAAATCCTGTCTTTCGTTTGGAGCATCCATGGGAAATTATAAAGGAGTATGCAACCTGTTAGACCGATCAACATCAAGTGCCTTTGAATGCAACGATGATGGATCATTTCCAATCCATGTGGCAGTAGAGAAAGGTCATATTGAAGTTGTCAAAGAGATTTTAAAACGTTGTCCATACTCAAAGCACTTGCTTAACAAAAAAGGTCAGAACATTCTTCACATTGCAGCTGAAAGTGGGAAGTTTGAAATTCTACGCCACTTGACGAGAAATGAACAAACAAACCTTCTAGCTTCTGAGCAAGATGTGGATGGGAATACACCCCTACATCTAGCCACCATAAAGTGGCGCCCTCGAGCTGTTTGTGAGCTTGTAAGGAAAAAAAACCTGTTGATACAGAACAATAGGGGCTTGACAGCTCTAGATATTGCCGAGTCAAAACTGAAACCCCACTACATCTATCGAGAGGTATGTCTAATTTACTTCTTTTTCTATTCCCGGATCGGTTATTTACAGCTTGTGACCCTTGAGTTTGGTTTGCAGAGGTATACACTGCTGGTCTTAGTAGAAGCTCACTGCCAAAACGATCCTAGATGCAGGCATACCATGTCGCCAACAAGACCAATAACGCCTAAGGGGGGCGGAAACAAAGATTACGTCAACGCTCTTCTAGTAGTGGCAGCTCTTATAGCCACCGTGACGTTTACTGCTGGTTTTACTTTACCAGGTGGCTTTAAAAGTTCTACTCCGAACTTGGGCATGGCAAATCTAGCAACTAACCCTCGTCTCCTCCTTTTCCTGCTATATGACATTTTAGCACTGGAAACCTCATTTGTAGCTGTAGTTTCTCTCATATTGGCGCAATTAGGTGATCCTGCACTATATCAAAGTACCGTAAGGGTGGCCATGGCATTCGTGTGTATGTCTATATATCTCATGAGCATAGCATTCTTCTTCGCCATGGTTATTGCAGCTGGGAATGTTATATGGCTTATTGTCGTCTTTTGTATTATAATTTTGCCCTTCATAGTTGCGATTATTTCAATGTTTTTCCCTCACTTCGTCCTACACTATCCTGGACCTCCTGCTGCGGTTAGCAAGTATTTAGTTTCTCATGTAGTAGGTAAAGTTGATGACGATGACGAAAGGTATCAGTCCTCTGGGGACAAGTCTGCCTGGGGACAAGTCTGTGATATAGTATTACCCATGTTGATTGGCTCGTGGCCAAATAAGAAGAGTCTGGAATTAATCAACGCGTGGCAGGTGGTGATTGGCAGATCGTAGATGGCCGTTAGAGACTATATGAGCACTCGTTTTCATTATCGAATAATTTGTGATTTCTTTGAATTCTTTGGTAAACTTGTATGGCTAGGTTTCTCTCATCTCGAGAGCTAGCTGATCATTTGGTGTTTCATGAACGTCGAATCGATCGTTTGTATTATGGATTTAAGTAATCGGAGATTTGAAATTGTGTTTATCAGAATCTATTGTGTTTATCAGAATCGTGAGTTTTACTGTATCAAAGGTATCAGAGCTGCGTCGTTTCTCGGAAAATGGTGCTTACAAGGTCTCAGGATGGTGAATCGAAAGGAAAAGAGGAGGAAGTGGAAGATCCGATGGCGGCGCGTATGTCGCGGTTGGAGGAGCTGGTGAAGGAACAAAATCAGAAGTTTTATAGAACTCTTTCAGAGATGATTGAAGCATCAAACAGATTTAAGAGAGTTTTAGATGATCCAATTGCTGAGTTAAAGCAGTTAAAAGAGATGAACGGTATTGTTGAGTATCACAAAAAGTTTGAGTTGCTTAGCACAAGAGTGAATCTGAGAGAAGATGACTTAGTTAGAGTTTATTTGGATGGTTTACAAATAGATACTCGAGTGAATGTTCAAATGTTTCAGCCTCAAACGATTCAGCAATGTTTCTCAATTGGAAGTTTATATGAGTATGCACATCCTCGAAGCAACATTGATAACGTTGGGAGCCTTCCACTTAAGAGGGATAGTGAACTGAAAGCTGAGGAGGATAACGAAGAAGACGAAATTGAGGTTGAGATGGAATCGATTGGCTTAGAAGACAATTTAGTACATGGAGCATTATTGGAGGAAGAATCAACTCCACAGGTATCAATTGCTAATTCTGAGATTTTGAGGAGTAATGAACTTAGGGAAGCCAATTTACGGTTTGAAAATATTGACAATGTGGTGATGAATGAGAATCTGGAGCATGAATGGATTCAAAAGAACATTCATAAGATATTTGAGGTTCACAGTGATGTTGAGAAGAGTCATAATGTGATAAGTAACACCAAAAATTGTTGTGCACACCAAGTGTTTGGTAAAAGGTCTCAGGCTAAAGACATACTGACATTGAAGAAAAGGAGAAAAGGTTTGAAGTCTTGGATGTTTAAATATAAACAAGAGAATAAGAGACTATGGAGGCTGCGCAATCATGTGTTCTCCTTTCCAAAATTGTGTGATCGTAGGATTGATAGGCCTCGAACAACAAGGAAGGTAAAGTTGTTTGGTGGAATTGAAATTGTCTATATCAAGAATTTTGTGAGCTTAGTCGTTGTTGGAGAAGTTCATGAAGCACCAGAGATCAATAAGTCGTTTTGACATAAAGAAAAAATGGGAACAAAGAAGAAAACAAAAAGGGTCAAATCTTGGATGTTCAAATTCAGAAAAAAGAAGACTGATGCAGGTCATGGAGAACAATCTGTGTCTGATCGGATTATAATGGAGAGCAGCGAGTTGTATACAGATAACAAAGGAGCAGTGGAAGACTGCTTAGACCATTTTCAATCGCAGGTACTGATGAAAGAAGAACCAGAATCTGTGAACTTAAATGCAGTGAAGTTAGAGATGCATAGTTGCAATTTGAAACAAGACTTGATTCAAGCCAAGATGATGGTGACAAAGAAGAATTTGCTCTGTAACGGTGAATCTGTCTATGTTCTTGAGGAATTATCATCTGCAATTTTGGAGAAAAAGCCAATCCCGTATTATATTGTGGAAGTGATTGTGTTGCCTTCCAATCTGATGGCGTTTTCAAGTTCTGGAAA